TTTTTTTTTTTTTTTTTTTTTTTTTTTTTTTTCACAAGTCTGAACTTTAAGGCCTGGAATCTGCACCCCATAAATGCAGTGGAAATCTGATCTTCTTTTAAAAGATGGAAGAGATCTGATGGATAATATCCCAAAACTAACAGGAATTATCGGTATACTAATTATTGCTCTTGGCTTTACAGTGTTTGTTTTATGTGCAAATAAGCTTGTTGCTGGATGCACGATCTATGTTCAAGTAAGATATCACTAGACCTGTATTTACTTGAAGCATATAATACTTTTTTCTCTCGTTCGATTCTGAAGCATGACTGTATTATTTGAGAATAAGGCTATTTAATATTCCATTGATGTATCTCTCTTCAATAACAAGAAACAAACGTCTAATGGTGTTCTCAAATCATCGCCAGTTCTTTATATGTGTAAATTGCTAGTATTCTTTTTTAAGGGGTTCTATTTCTAGGTATACAGCGTGTGAAAACAGAGGTCTTTTCAATTATGGCATCCGTCGTATAAAGATTATTTGTAGAAGAAAAGGACTTCCATTGGATTTACAAGTAGAAAAACAAGCCACATATTTAACCTATAATCCTTTGAGGGAATTTTGATAAATGGAAATATTGTTTCCTTAACAGGGAAGATTTAGAACTGAGAAATTATTGCCTCCCTCACTGAAAAGAACAGTAAGAGGTCACATTGAATTTCAGTTCTGTAAAGAAAATAGTTTAACAGAAGTTGTTTAGTTCGCCATTCTTTTGCTATGAATTTAAGAAGTTCCAATGCTTGACACACAAAAGGCTCCTTTTGTCAACATTAAAGGGATTTTGTTCAACTTTTCTAGCTGACAGTGGCTGGACAAGCATCAGGACAAGAGAAACATGGATCAAGGCTGTCAGTGAATTAGTTAATAAATACTAAAACAATTATAAGAAAAGAAATGAGAACATACACCTACAACTGGAGGTGGCATCGATTGAGGATAATTTAGGAAATGAATGACTTAAGTGGTTAAGTCATGTTTTGATCCTCTTCAAGTTCTAAACCATGTCAAATAAAACTTTTGCAGTAAACAATGTTGTTGAAGCTAGGTATGCCAAGCAATTGATCTATACACGGGCAAGTTCGAGTGGCTTGGTTTCACTTGTGTACGTACTTGATTGCAAGTGTAACAACCAATTTTTACCAATGTCAATAGACTAATAAAAGGTCTATTTGTATTGAGTTGAGTTGAGTCGAGTTGTAAACTAATCTCAAAGGCTCTCAAATTAAACCCNAACAGCAAAATGCCAAATAAGCAGGAATTGTCAGGGACTCAGGAGGGAGTTTAGGTTTTACTTCTGGATAGCAAAATTATCCACTATTTTTATCCCCGATTAGTTCTCATTTATGTAGTTCTTCATGATGAACTAAGTTGTTCATGTCACCAGATTTTGCTTGACAGGATAGTTGATGCTACCAAATGAAGATGTAGACTATTATATGAAATACTCGAGAACAGTGCAGGATATCTCTCTACTAAGTAACTCATCTGTCAAGCTATGTTTTGGGCTTGTTGCTTTTTCACAGCCTTGTTTCTGTTATTTTATGCACACTCATGCATGTTCTTTTTAAGCTGCATCTGTGTCTGTTACCGTATAAATGGAACTCAAAACTTTAACAGCTTCCTTTTATTTTTTGAAACCAAACTTTAGAAAATTCTAGTGTGTTTAGGAATTATGAACTTCACAAACAGCTGAAAAGGTTACAAGTGTATTCCCAAATACTTTTTATCAGTTTAAGTTGTAGTGCTTTGTGAGAATTTCCCTGAACTTATTATCTGAGGAATGTTTTTCTTTTCTTGTACTTCCTCATAATTTCGAATATGTTTTCTGCAAATCCACCAGTGATGGGGAACCAATTGCCTTCAAGAAGATGCAACAATTTTCCGCAGTCGACGGGTTTCTGCAGATAGCTGAAGAATCGGCTGATATGATAGAATTTGTGGCTAATGAGCCCTCTGTTGGGCTTTATTACGTTCAACAGCACACCCAGAATGCAGTTCCCAACCTTATTAATCTCAAGAACAAAGTTGTCGAAAAATCCCGTGAGACAACTTTGCATACAGAAGATTTAGAGGATTCTATTTCCATTGTTAGGTCGATGAAAGAATATGGCTTCCCGATTGCTGATGAGATGACTCTAGAGATCAAAAAATCTCTTGCAATCATGTCAAAAAGACAGCCAAAGAGAGGGTTGTTAAATAACTCAGGTTTTGGCATTGATAAAACCAGCTCTTGGTCTCCAGCCACCTGGGGTCGTAATGCAGTTCATTCAGATCTGGGGGATGAGAGAACGAGTGGTTATCTGTCTAGTGTTTTTCGATCTGCGAAACAAAGAGCTGGAAATTTCAAATGGAGTCAAGTTGAGTTTAAAGAATCAAGCCTTCCCGAGGGTAAGAAGCTCTCATCCTGTGTTAATCCCACACTTGTAAAGGCAGT